ACATCAGCAGCATCAATGACAGGCACGTCGACGCCATCAGGACGAAGATTTGGAATGCCCGGCGCAATGAAGGCGTCCTCAGGTTAGTAACCCCCTCCCTTCAGAGTATCCTGCTGAGGCTGATGTACTTTGTCTCCCCCCCCCAACCTTGACATTTTGCTATTACGCATCTGTCTGCACCATGCACCACATGCACCATGCACCCATGCTCACCATGCACCCATGCATTGCATGCGCCCATGCGCCGCTTATGCTGTCCTGTGCCACATGCATGCACCATATGCTCCTGCGGTGCCTTATCTATCCGCTTTTGTGTAAATTACACACCCTTGCCTGCCATTGTACTTACATACACATATGCATGCTGTTTCCCACATCACACGCTTCCATCTCCCCCCCCCCCCCCCTGCTCCCTATGCCTGGCCACCATTAGGCTTGAATAGCAGCTAGCTCAGACCACCCTGGTCACAGACCCCACCAAGGCTTCTCACACCCATGGCCAAAAACAAGGCCGCTCCCCATCGCCCCCTCTAAACCAGGAATCATGCAGAAGAAACAAGCACCTCGCCAACCGCCTGACAAAACAGGGTCGCCGCTCCCCCAGCCCTCCACGGCAGCCAAAACAAAACTCTCCCACCCAGGACACCAAACGATGTCGTGTCACAAAGTCCGGCACAGGGTTTTTTCAGGCAGGTGCAGCTGGAAGTGGGGCCTTCTCTGCCTGCACCATCTGTCTTGGCCGTGGCCCCCACAACGTGTACAAATGCGAGTCTGACACCCTGTGGAATGGTTCCCCTGCGCACTGCAGGAAGAACAGCAAGGGCTGCCTTGTCAACCCAGCAGGCAACATCCTTTGCTCCAACTGGCAGCGGCCAAATAGGTGCTCATCCACCACCCACAACTCCTGCCACAAATGCTCAGGATGCGGCAAGTCGACTCACGAAGCTCAGAACTGTCCTCGAGCGCAAAAAGCTTAACGCAGCATCGCCCTACAACCCAGAAGCATGGCAAAGCCACCTCCTGGCAGCTAGGCTGCAGGATAAATACCCAAACATCCCCACAGACCTCTGGTCTGGCTTCGACGCAGGCATCAGACACATCACCCAAACCTTCGCCCCACCAAACCGTCCGTCCCTCTATGAGCACCAAGCTGAGTTTGATGAAATTGTGCAAACTGAGCTTCAAAGGGGAAGATACATGGGCCCCGTCACCCAAGCAGAGGTTGAATCCCTGCTGGGTGCCTTCCACATGTCCCCACTCAGCATCATTCCAAAACCCGGACAACCAGGCAAATATCGGATCATCCAGAATTTATCATCCCCACACACCCCCCTGGGCACCATCTCTTCCATCAACAGCTCCATCGCCTCTGACCAATACCCCTGCACATGGGGTACCTTCTCCACCATCTGCTTGCTCATTCATCGCCTCCCCCCAGGTTCGCAGGCCACTGTATGCGACGTCAAAGAGGCCTACAGCAATGTCCCCATCAAAGAGGCCTACAGCAATGTCCCCATCAAACCTGACCAATGGCCAGGCCTTGTCGTCCGCTTGGATGAGGCTGACAACTTCGTGATTGACACACGAGATTGCTTTGGTTTGGCTTCAGGTGGCGGCCTTTATGGCTGCCTGGGAGACGCTGGAGCCCAAATCATGCGCTCCAAAGGCGTTGGCCCCCTCTCCAAATGGGTGGACGACCACATCTTCTTTCGAATCCTCCACAGACACCTTGAGGAATACAACCTCAGGCGCAAACACTGGGCAGAGCGCATCACCAAGAACAGTGGAGAAATCCATGATGGAGGGCATCTCTGGTTCAAAGGCGGAGTCATGCCCAATGACCAGCCAGAGGAATTTGATGAGGACCTCTCCTGTGCCATCCAGGACCTCTCTCAGGCATCACACAGGTTTGTCGCACCCTCCTGCACCAGCTCAGCCACACGCTAACACCTCCGACAGATCCCATGAAGACAAGCAGTTCACATACTGCATGGCAGACATTGATGCTCTTTCCAATGACTTTGGCATTCCCTGGGAAGTTAAGAAAGACATACCCTTCAGCTCCGTCGCCCCTTTCATCGGTTTCTCCTGGGACCTGGCCAACCGCACGGTCAGTCTACCAGAAAACAAGAAAGCGAAATACCTCCAGGCGATCCTGGAATGGGAGTCCAAACTGAAGCACATGCTGGACGATGCGCAAAAGCTATACGGAAAGCTACTACATGCCTGCCATGTTGTTCCCGCCGGACGAGTGCACCTCACCAATTTGGAGGCCTTCATGGGAGTATGCCACTGTGACCGTCCTTTCTGCCCACGTTCCCCACCCTGCCAAACCTCAAACGATCTTCAATGGTGGAAAGACAGACTCACCTAGCCTGCCGTCATCAGGGACATCCCTGGGCCCTTCCCCATCGTCAACCCCAACGCTTACTCAGATGCTAGCTCTGAGGTGGGTATTGGGATCACGATTGGCAACAGATGGAGGGCCTGGAGGCTCCTCCCAGGGTGGAAAGCCAACAGCAGGGACATCGGATGGGCAGAAGCAGTTGGCTTCTGGTTCCTCGTCCTCACAATTGCACCTTCCGCGCCCAGAGGCACGCACACCAAGGTTTTTGGGGACAACAGAGGGGTTGTCGAGGGCTGGTGGAAAGGCAGGAGCAGAAACAAACCCACCAGTGACATATTTAAGCACATCCACGCCTTCTCTGAAGCGCAAGACATCGCCTTCCACACAAGATACATCCCCAGCAAGGAAAATCCAGCCGATGGGCCCTCCCATGGTGAATACCACCACAGGTCCCTCCTCCTTCCTGCCATCATCATCCCTCATTCGCTCTGACAATACGTATGTGACTTCAACGCGCCTCTCTCACCAGCTGAGTCGCTTCTTATACAGCAAGGAAAGGCCCCTACCCCCTTCCCAGAGCAGACCGCCTGTCTCTCCAACAAGGCCAGGCAGCAATCAACACCGCTCTTGAAGAACATGCCAGAGACATCTTCTCCCAGACACAACGCTGGCTCAACAGCTAACCGCTTCCCTCGCGCAGTCCAACACACCTCCAAAGGGGCAAGACCTGCACACTACATGAAAGACCTGTGTCCCCTCCCATCCGCCAGACGCCCACACGTCCTCGCCAGCGAACACCTTCAGCTATGGACACCATTGCATGGGCGCAAGACAGCCAAAACCATGCTGTCGAACTTAACCTCAGAAGACATATGCCAAATTGCGGTCGTCATGGGAAAATCTTGGGAAGAATCGACACTGGCAGCTTATGGTTCAGGGCTGCTGAACTTCCATGTCTACTGTGACCAAAAGGGAATCCCAGAGGAACAACGTGCACCTGCCAGCCCACTCCTCATCCATGCCTTCATCTCAGCCCTAGCAGGGGCATACTCAGGCAGCACCATTGACAACTATGTATACGGCATCCGAGCCTGGCACCTCATCCATGGGGTCAAGTGGCAGATGGAAGTGGCAGAGCTTGATACCCTTCTCCGAGCTGCAGAGAAAACCACACCAGCAACTTCGAAAAAGAAGAAGAGAACACCTTACACCCCCTCCTTCATCCTTGCAATCAAGGAACAACTCCAGCTGGACAAGCTGCAGGATGCCACTGTATTCAGCTGCCTCACCACTGCCTTCTACGCCACAGAACAACTGGGCGAATTCACAGTCCCAAACGACTGGTGGCTACCACTTTTATGATAAAACCAAGGCAATTGCCTGCAGAGCTGTGTGTATAAGTCCACAAGTTTTATGAAAGGCCTTTCATAGATGTGTCCTGTGTTTTCTTTCTCATAAAGGCTATGTTCTTTTCATAAAATATAGGCAAGGCCACAGGGTGCTTTTCATAATTAAGCCTGTGTGCTTTCAATAGGTATTTCATTTACTGGGTTAGGTGTATTCATTGCCTTTTTCATAATTAATGCTGTGCGCTTTCATTGAATATTTCATTAGGAATATTGGATGCTTTCATTGTACTTTTCATAATTAATGTTGAGCAATTTCAATAAATATCTCATTCCCTAGGTCAGGTGTATTCATTGCCTCTTTCATAATTAATGCTGTGCGCTTTCATTGAATATTTCATTAGGAATATTGGATGCTTTCATTGTACTTTTCATAATTAATGTTGTGCAATTTCAATAAATATCTCATTCCCTAGGTCATATTATGGTCCATCCAATGGGTCATTGGGAGGGTGGTCACATGACCAATTTCCAAAAATGGTAAAAAAAAACAAAAGTTGTAGCTCTTTACCATAGCTTCCTGAATCAGTTGGAATTATGTCCTAAAGTGTTTCCATTGTGGAGATATGAGGTAAAAGGTTTTCAAAAGCACCGCGTTTTTTTTTGTTTTTTGCATTTTGCTACATGAAAAGAACACTAAACAACATGATTTCAACAGATTTAGAAAGCTAAGAGAAGGGGCTACAACTATTGTATCATGGGAAATTTCTCCCAAAAAGGAAGGTACATGCCCTAAAAGGGTAATTGACACTGACAGACTACAAAAGATTGCTGATATACTACAAAAGTAAGTTATAGCCTACAAAGTTTACTAATAGACTACAAAAAAGACTACAAAAGTCGGACATAGACTACAAAAGTTGGACATAGACCACAAAGGTCAGACAAAGACTACAAAAATTAGTAGTGTCTGCTTTTCTCATTACAAAAGTTAATAGTGTCCGCTTTTTGAGACTACAAAAGTTAGTAGTGTCTATTTTTTCGGACTACAATGGTTTGTAGTGTCCGCTTTTTGAGACTACAAAAGTTAGTAGTGTCTGCTTTTTCAGACTACAATG